TAATAATCACAAGGTGATGTCAATCAGAAGTAAAAATCCTTATCTAAATAGCCCTTAAACCCCCATCCTCCTCCCTTTACATTTCCGAGTGGTTTAATTCTACTATATGTGTGAACTGTTTATTGCTGACCCCTGACAGTGATGAACAAGACCACTAGTAGTAAGTACAACAGCCTTACTTACATCTTGCGTAGGAAACGTTATTTGCTCTGGATGAAAATGTATACTCGGCTGAAACTGATTTGATAGTTGCTTAATAAATTCTATTTAAAAAATTAGTAAAACTGTCGAATTCAACTGATGGTCAGTTATAAAAAAACTAGTTTAATCCTGAAGTCACTTTGATTCTGTTCTTTTCTTTCATTTAACAAAATGTGAATTTTTATTTTTTAAATAGCATTTTTTATTGATGGAGACTTGTGAAAAATGAAGAAAGAAAAAAAATCTCAAGTTTTAGTGTACTGCTCTTTATGGCATTATGTATGGAAAGTAAAAAGTTTCATTTATAAATTTTCTAGAAATTATTATTTTTATTTCTTAGGCAGTGGATACAAGAACAGTATTAGGGCCTTGTAGAAATCTCAATCTAACTCATCTGAAAGAAACTACCAATTTGGAAGATGTAAAGTGTTATAACACTAACTCCAAACAAACGAACTCGGAGAGAGAGCTCTTAGATTACAAGTCGTACGTCTCATCAAGATGCAGAAATGAAGGTACAGGAAAACAAGTTTATTTTATTCTGGTTAACTTAACTATACTACTGTAAAGAAGTAAAAGAAAATTGGTTCAAAGATTTTTGTTTGTTCCCAGTTTAACCAAACTGTGTATACCCTAGTCACTGGCTAATTTTGTTTGACTGTTTTTTGTTTTACTTCTATTGACTATCTGCATTAATCCTTGGATGATTATTTGCTGTAAAGTAGTAATAAACAGAAGTGTCTCTAGTTCTTTTTTAACTTTACTATAAAAATTCTTTCTATAATAATTTTAACACTTGTGATGGATATTTAATTTTTCAAGATCTAGAAGACGATGATGATATTACTAACATGTTGAAGAATATTCCTCAAATTGAGAAACTCTTTCAAGTGAAGGAAAAGATTGGTGAGGGTAAGTAGAAGATTATAATTCTTAGAGTTTTAAACATTAACAAAATGAGAAGTGATAAGTTCATTGTGTTGTTCAGAATCTTCTAAAAAAATTTTTGAGGTTTGAAATTTAAAAGGATCTCCTTTATTAAGAAAATACAAATATTTTAATTTGAAAAACAAATCCAAACAATTACCAGTTAAAGTTAATCCATAAAAATTGTGTGGTCATTTGTTTTCTTTTTTCAAAGCTATGGTACAGAGGATCATTATTGAAATTAATTAAACTCAATTTGTAAATAATTCAAGACTTGTTAATAGAATTTTATGGGTTTTAGCTACATACAAGTTTTACACTTAATAATAAACATGATGATAAATTTAAGTTTGGAATTAACATTCTTTTCTGTGCATTCATGTATTTGGAATCCCAAATCCATTGGTTGTAATCCCATTTCCTGTATCACCTGGAAAATATTGGTATTTCAGAATACAGAAAATGTTGCCCATCAAATCTTGTGTTAAATCTTTAGTTAAATACCTCAGGACAACCGGCATGCCTACTTTAGTTAAATACCTCAGGACAACCGGCATGCCTACTTTAGTTAAATACCTCAGGACAACCGGCATAACTACTTTAGTTAAATACTTCAGGTCAACCGGCATGTCTACTTTAGTTAAATACTTTAGGTCAACCGGCATGACTACTTTAGTTAAATACTTTAGGTCAACCGGCATGACTACTTTAGTTAAATACTTCAGGTCAACCGGCATGACTACTTTAGTTAAATACTTCAGGTCAACCGGCATGACTACTTTAGTTAAATACCTCTGGACAACCGGCTATTTAACTAAAGTAGGCATTATTTAACTAAAGTAGGCATGCCGGTTGACCTGAAGCTTCAGGTCAACCGGCATGACTACTTTAGTTAAATAACCTTTCATCTTTAATTTCAGACATTTTATATAAACAAAACTTTAGGAATAACTTGAATTTATCACAAGATTTGATGGGCAACATTTTCTGTATTCTGAAATACCAATATTTTCCAGGTGATACAGGAAATGGGATTACAACCAATGGATTTGGGATTCCTAAGATTTAACCTAAGATAGAATGTTTGAACTCACAGAAAACATTAATTTATCACGAAATTGAAAAGCTTCCAATTCAATTATCATGTATATGATATGGAAGAGAAGTTGTTTGATAATCAATCAAATAGACAAGGCATATTAGTATAGGGAGGGGGACATATGACAGAAAATGTGAGTTTTTAGCAAATAGCAGAAGTATCGCATACAGTAAAGTAAGTGTAGAATCCCTCCCCAATCAAACAAACAATTCCTGTCCTGTTTCAATGAAGGTAAACTTTTGGAAATGTGTTGCTATTGTTTTTTTTATATACTTTATCACAAATTCACTTTATTCAATAATCAGCAAGAACCGACATTTCAGTACAGCTGTCCATCAAAGTATGTGACAATTAGCCGTAACAAAGCTGCCGCTCGTATCCATCCAATAACAATTAACTCGATTAAGTCCGCTGTTTTTCAAACTTACGAGAAAACATGTATATAGATAATCTAGTTATGGGATCAAAGCCGCAGTTTTTTGTGTTTATTTCTTTTGTATTCAGGAACTTTCAGTAAGGTCTTTAGAGCTTCTTTGAAGGGGAGAGGAAACTCGAAGGAAGATTTTGCATTGAAATACTTAGTTCCAACTAGTCACCCTCAAAGGATTGCAAATGAACTTCGATGCATGAAGGAAGTTGGGTGAGTGGCTAAGATAATGTCGGTAGTGTTTCTAGTTGGGTTAAAACGACAATAACACATAACTATGGTTTGATGTTTTAAATAGAGAAAGCTGACAGATCAACGTAACCAGTATGTCTAATATTTGTAATGAAGGTCACGCTGAAAAAGAAAAGAAAATTTAAATATAGTGATTTTTTTTTATCCCCATTGTTAGGCTTGTAACCATGATTCTTATTTTAACCACTTAACTGTTAAAGACTCGCAGCCACTGTTTATATGGTGGAATTCCATAAAGCCAAATAACAATTACTAGACATTTGGTTTAAATATTTTAGGTTGGTAATCGTTTAAAATTATAGTTAATATTTGGACTCAACACTGAAACGTTTTTGCACGAATTATCATTAGTTGATTACTACGTGATCTTTGTTATTCGAGAAATTGTGAGATATGTAAAATAGTTTTGTTGTAGAAGTTGGTATCATATCGAAGAAGAAGAAAGGAGGTTTTAGGTTTGTTCAACAGTACTTCTGGTTTATATGAATTTTAGTGAACAATAATATTAAAGATTGAAGTATCAAGCAAATGAAAATTTTCATATTAGTGAATTCCTCAAAGATTTTGGTCTTCTTTTTGTTTTTTTATATACAAGTATAATACGTTACATCAAGCTACTTCTGATGTATTGTTTCTGCTGTTTTATAGAGGCTCCTGTAACGTGATGAACGTTGAACTTTGTCTGATGGAGCGAGGCCATGTTGTAATTATTATGCCTTTCTTTCCTCATGTCTTGTTTTCGGTATGTATTAAACATATAATATTCGGCGTGTATTCTGTTGACACTTGAGTCTTAAATGTATTTTTTAATAACTAAAATTCCTTTTTTTTCTTATTTGAAACATATTAAAGATGTAAGATTTGTAATTTTATAAATTTAAAAGCAACATTAACAATAAATCACATTTTTCTATTTTGAAGTTGCTGATTAAACATTTGTTTTAGAGGTCATATTAGTTTCTTTTAGGACCTTTTAATTCAAAATTAGTCCCTTTAAATTAACTCTGAGAAAATACTGACCATAAATCAAAACATTTCTTGATAATAGGTAGTATTAAGATTATCAGTAGCTTATAAGTGAAGCAAAAGGTTCATTAGTATGTCAGTTTTGGTGTGCCACTTAGGAGTTGGAAAGTTTTAAAAATAAACACAGCTGCATTTACATGAAACTGTGCAAGCTGAAATGTCAGTAAAAATGTAAAATACGTTTAATTGTATAGTTATTAGGTATCTGTTATTACAAAATAAATTTCAATATGAATCTAATATTTCTACTTTTGAATTGTGTGTAATGATTGGCCTTCATCTTTCCTTTAGGATTGCGTGAGAAGTATGACGAAAGAGGAAGTAAAAGATTATATGAAAAACCTTTTACAGGCACTAACGAAGATCCACGAAAAAGGAATCATTCATAGAGATGTTAAGCCAAGCAATTTCTTGTACAACAAGAAATTAAAACGGTAATTTTTTGAAATTGTACACAATACATAGTAGTCGCTCGTGATCATTTATGCCCAAAAATATTCTCTGTTTCAAAAAAGAAAAACATCAGTGAAATATACTTTGAACTTTAAATACAAACAAGTAATATAGGCTTAAAACAAGAGGTGAAAATGTAAGAACGTATACAAATTATATGGGTTGTCAATTAAGTAGTGCAGATATTTTACAAACAGAAAGTTACTACTTGTGAAAAATCTAAATTTCTTTTAATATACCAAACATCATTATGAAATCAGTTAAGATAAACTATGAAGTTTAAAAATGTATTCTATTCAATTTATACAAACTTAAAATTTAGAGTGATCTGATAAACTGTGCAACTGACTAGTGTTAAGGTACATTACTACCCTCAGGTATGCTTTAGTTGATTTTGGACTTGCTCAGTACATGAAAGAAATCGAGTCTCGAGAAAAAACTGAGGTTTCTAGGCCTCCGTGTGGAGTACTGACTAATAGAAATTCCCAGGAAACTCCTGAGAAATCCAGGGAGAAACACAAGGACCACCTGAAAACATGTTCTTCCCAAAGTACAATAACACCCAGGAAGAGACCAAGAAGTGTCAACCAAGAAAATGAGGTGAAACTAGGTTTAAAATGCTACTTTGAAACTAGGTTTAAAACACTTCACTTTGAAACTAGGTTTAAAACGCTACACTTTGAAACTAGGTTTAAAACGCTTCACTTTGAAACTAGGTTTAAAATGCTTCACTTTGAAACTAGGTTTAAAACACTTCACTTTGAAACTAGGTTTAAAACGCTACACTTTGAAACTAGGTTTAAAACGCTACACTTTATTATTTGTGTTCATTTAAAATTTAATAAAAGTTGAAAGCTTTACAGGGGTTACTTTTGGAATAAGTAAAGTTTTTCAGCTCATGTTCTAGTTTACTGAAAAAAAAATGTATATATATATCTTTAATGCACATATTCTTGAATTTTTTTATATTTAATCTTAGTATTTTTTTTAGGTCTTTTTCTCTAATGTTCATCGTAACAAGAAAGCATTTTGTGAATCTTCTAACGCTGTAGGCCACCAAGGCTCATTAGTCTCAAGTCATCCTCAGTATTCTGTGACACCCCTAAAACCTCTTGATAATTTTGATCCAGTTCCAAAACGAACTCCTCATCTACAACTAGCGAGGAAGAATCCCAACACCGTGACTAAAATCCCACCTGTGAGAAATGAGCCAAGAATGGTAAAGTTTGAAGGCAACCATGTCCGACTTAGTGGTGGCTATATCAGTAGCAATGCACGAAAACAGAGCTGTGGTTGTTTTGGGAAGCCACAAGTTTGTAACATCTGTTTAAGTAGGTACGTCAGACTTTCTTCCCAAGTTTGTAACATCTGTTTAAGTAAGTACATCAGACTTTCTTCCCAAGTTTGTAACATCTGTTTAAGTAAGTACATCAGACTTTCTTCCCAAGTTTGTAACATCTGTTTAAGTAGGTATGTCAGACTTACAACACAGTCTAAGCTCAATTATAAGGTTTAAAAACAGAAATGCTTGGAGATCCTGGAAGTTTTATTGACATTTCATATCTTAAACTGTCATCAGGATCTCTGTCTGTATCAGTGGTATTTCTAGGATGTTTTATTGGGGGGGTTCAAGTGTTGTTAAATAAAAAATAAGTCAATTGTCTTTAAACAGTATATTTATTCTTCCTGATAGCTCCGATGGAGACAGTTGAGCTCTCCATCCCTCACACCACTGAACAAAAAACTAAATCCTGATAGCTCCAATGGAGACAGTAGAGTTCTCCATCCCTCACACCACTGAACAAAAAACTAAATCCTGATAGCTCCGACAGAGACAGTAGAGTTCTCTATCCCTCACACCACTGAACAAAAAACTAAACCCTGATAGCTCCGATGGAGACAGCAGAGCTCTCCATCAGTCACACCACTGAACAAAAAACTAAATCCTGATAGCTCCGATGGAGACAGCAGAGCTCTCCATCAGTCACACCACTGAACAAAAAACTAAATCCTGATAGCTCCGATGGAGACAGCAGAGCTCTCCATCCCTCCCACCACTGAACAACATCAACAGATTTTTATTCAGTTCCTGCAGAGCAGGATAAAGAACAAAACAAAAGGAAAATTGTATAAAAATGTTTTTATGGTATTATCTCTTATTTCTGTGGGTACTTGCTGGAGTTCTTATTGCAAGCGAACCTATGAAACCTGTTTTTCAGAAGCTTAACCTTTAAAACCTACATCATTACTCAAGAGCCTGTTTTTAATGCTTCAGACTGTTAAAAATACATATTTCGAGAAATAAAATTTTTTGCTCTATGTTTAAAATTAAAACTCATCTCTTAGTTATAACTGTCATACATGTGCCCTGAAACAGACACTCCTCCCTGTGTCTAGTAACACATGATGTGTGGAAGACCTTAAGATACACTACAAGTAACTACATACAACTCTACACCTCACTTGTGAAGTCTGTACCCCAACAAATTCATCTGATTGAGAGAATTCATGAGTAGCTGCTTCGGAGATGTTATGTAAGGGAACTTAGAGTGAGCTTTGTAGTGAATATTCTCAAGTACAAAATAAGAACAATTGTTCTAAGTTGTTTGGAAGAAGGTGTGGGAAACAAGTATGTTTGGTTCTAAAGGTTATTGTCCTAAGTTGTTTGGTAGAAGGTGTTGGAAACAAGTATGTTTGGTTCTATAGGTTATCATCCTAAGTTGTGTGGGAAACAAGTATGTTTGGTTCTATAGGTTATTATCATAACTTGTTTGGAAGAAGGTGTGGGAAACAAGTATGTCTGGTTCTATAGGTTATTATCATAAGTTGTTTGATAGAGGGTGTGGGAAACAAGTATGTCTGGTTCTATAGGTTATTATCATAAGTTGTTTGATAGAGGGTGTGGGAGACAAGTATGTTTGGTTCTATAGGTTATTATCATAACTTGTTTGGAAGAAGGTGTGGGAAACAAGTATGTCTGGTTCTATAGGTTATTATCATAAGTTGTGTTGGAAACCAGTATGTTTGGTTCTATAGGTTATTGTCATAAGTTGTTTGATAGAAGGTGTGGGAGACAAGTATGTTTGGTTCTATAGGTTATTATCATAACTTGTTTGGAAGAAGGTGTGGGAAACAAGTATGTTTGGTTCTATAGGTTATTATCATAAGTTGTTTGATAGAAGGTGTGGGAGACAAGTATGTCTGGTTCTATAGGTTATTATCATAACTTGTTTGGAAGAAGGTGTGGGAAACAAGTATGTTTGGTTCTATAGGTTATTATCATAACTTGTTTGATAGAAGGTGTTGGAAACAAGTATGTTTGGTTCTATAGGTTATTATCATAAGTTGTGTTGGAAACCAGTATGTTTGGTTCTATAGGTTATTATCATAAGTTGTGTTGGAAACCAGTATGTTTGGTTCTATAGGTTATTGTCCTAAGTTGTTTGATAGAAGGTGTGGGAGACAAGTATGTTTGGTTCTATAGGTTATCATCCTAAGTTGTGTTGGAAACCAGTATGTTTGGTTCTATAGGTTATTGTCCTAAGTTGTTTGGTAGAAGGTGTGGGAGACAAGTATGTTTGGTTCTATAGGTTATTGTCCTGAGTTGTTTGGTAGGTGTTGGAAACAAGTATGTTTGGTTCTATAGGTTATCGTCCTAAGTTGTTTGGTAGAAGGTGTGGGAGACAAGTATGTTTGGTTCTATATGTTGTCATAGGTTGTTTGGTAGAAGGTGTGGGAGACAAGTATGTTTGGTTCTATAGGTTTATTGTCCTAAGTTGTTTGGTTCTATAAAACTTCATTGATTATCATGCAGCATCTCCTCGAGAGATTTTGCTAAAATATTCTGTAATTTGTTAAATCTAGTCTTTATTTTAAAGGTTGGCAGCAGTAGACTGTGGGAAGTGTCTATTCCTCCAATAATGTGTAATGTTTTAAAATGATCCACTCGGTGGCATTCTCCAGACTCACTCTATTATACTAGCCATTAAACACTCTTCACCCTATCAAGCTTCTATAAAGAACATTTCAGTATGGACAAACTTGTTGGCCAGTTGATGTTTCACTGGTTGCCCTTCTTTAAGCATTCTAGTTCTGACTTTATAATTTAACATTTGTTGATTAAGTTGGGACGAGAAAGTTCACAGGTTTCAGGTTTCTTAATTGGTCTGCTTGTACAAGATTTGTAAACTAATTTGTTCCTGTTTTCTTGGAATAAAAATAGGTATGATTTTCAGTTTGTCAAAAATGTTAGAATGCTATTCTGTTTATTTATTACTGTTTTTATTAATAATATTTTTTATTTTAACTTGTATTTTATTATGAAGATTGTCTTATATTGTTAGCTTAGAAATAGTTGTTAGGATTAACCCAAACCTCGCGAGATATGATTAGGTTTACCACCAAAAATATTGTTAACAGCAAGGGTGTCCAACTGATGAAACACTACATTCTAATCTTTATAACTAGAGATGTTAAAAAAGTAAACTTGGTTAGCTATACTGATGTCCAGTTTGGATTTTAGTTTTGTTCTGATCAGAAGTTATTCAATTTCTCTGTTGTTTTACTTTGTACTCTCTCTCCTTCTTTTAACTTGTTCATCAAAGTTAGTATTATAACATTTCTAGGATATCCTGAACTATCGGAGCAGTTCCCATCATTATGCTTGTAACACACGATGGTGTTCTCTTAATGTTTCATACCTGAAACTAACATAAACTAATCACTTTCAGGAAAATACAACTACAGTTGTACCTGAGGCATAGACAATGACTTATCTAGTGTTGAGAGTGGGAACTAAATGTTTCGAAATGTTCTTTTCTTTGGATGAAAATTAAGATTTATTACTTAGATACACTGTTGAACATGACAAGATCTTTGTACTCTAGGTTACAAGAAGTTGCTCCAAGAGCTGGTACTCCTGGGTTCAGAGCTCCTGAAGTGTTACTAAAATATAAGGGACAAACTACAGGTAATTATAAGACATTGAGTTGTGAACATGTATATAAATATACCAATCAACTGCAACTGAAGATTTCCTGATACTCTTTATTTGTCAATACATTGAATGCTTAACAACTCTTCACTATAAGTTAACCGATTTTTTAAAAATGCATTACTTGGGTAACCCTATTTGTAATTAATTATGAGTACCACACCCCCCTAGATTTCACTGTTTAAATAAACAGTGAAATCTAGGGGGGTGTGGTACTCATAATTAATTACAAATAGGGTTACCCAAGTAATGCACTAAGATTAAATAATCTTAGTGCATTACTTGGGTAACCCTATTTGTAATTAATTATGAGTACCACACCCCCCTAGATTTCACTGTTTAAATAATCTTTGTGCAATTCTTTAATATTTTACAGCCATTGATGTATGGTCAGCTGGGGTGATATTTCTATCTCTCTTAAGTGGACGTTATCCCTTTTTTCGAGCCACAGATGATTTAACCTCTCTAGCAGAAATTGCAACAGTTATCGGAACCACCAGGCTACAAGAGTCGGCTCAAAAATTAGGTATTGTTGTTCCAGCTATGTTAAGAAAATTCAATATTTGATATGTCCAGTAACTGATTGACTTGCCCATAGTAGGTTTTTTTCCATTTTATTTATCTCTAAGTAAGTACAGCCTAGGTATTAGAAGTGAAAGTTTCAAGATATACAATTACATTTTGTTTCTTTATTCTTCTCTAGGTAAAAAGGTGACCATGAGTTGTCAAAAGCCATCCTTAAAGCTGAACATTTTGTGTAAGCAGTTACGAGGTTCTGGTAGAGAAACGACCTTTCCTGAAAGTGCCTACGAACTTTTAGAATCTATGATGGATCCTGACCCGTTCACTAGAATTTCTGCACATGCTGCACTTCAGCATGCTTACTTTGAAACTTGTGCGACCTCTAGTGTGTAAATCATATATTTTAATTTTAAAAACCTTAATAAAGTGGTAGAGATATTTATTACGACTCTTCAAAACACTAATTTGTTTTTTGCTCCTAAAGCTTGAACAATTTAAAATCGCGACTCGTAGAGAATTATTCAATTTTTATTTTATAATTACAGGAATGTACAGAATACCAATAGTTCATGCTGTGGTTAAAAACTACCCCTTTATATTACCGAAAATAAGCGGTAATAAAAGTAAATAATGATCAAGCACTTGTGAATAGTAGTGTCATAAGTATGTGATGTCCACATGTGACCAGTGGAGAAACGTTTATGATTAAAAACACATCGCACGTTATTTTGCAGCTAATGAATAAACCTTAATTTCGAGAACAGACTAAAAGTATTACGATCATAGTATCTACCACTTCTAAAGATATATTTCAACCAAACCACTCTCTATTTTGGAGAGTCTTATTTATGGATATTTCAAATGGCTCTTATAAAAATTATAAGTCTACTATAACATTGTTGATGTTCGACTTATTTTCTTCTTGAGATTCTAGGTTCTCTATTATAAAAGCTTTGGTTTGGTTTTTATTCATGTAGCAATGTAGTCCGTGATTTTTATTGACATCCTAATTGTTTGTCTGTTTAACGTGCTTATAAAAAAAAAATATCTGAACTACATGTCCACAAAGTATATTTATAGATTTCTTAAATAATATTCCTTCACGATGCTTTCTGAAGTTAGTTAAATCCACGTCTACAATGAAATGCAACTGCAAATTGACTGAATTTCAAAAGGAATTAATACTGATTGTATTGTTCTTTTGACCACGGGTGTCGTATATATTAAACTGACCTATAAATTCAAGTAACCAATTCCTGAAAAAATTTTATTGCAAAAAATTAACATTTACATTTCTAAGAACAGAAGTAAAGAGTGAAACTAAGCCAATTACGAGTAAGGTTGGTTTACTATTACTATGATCATTCTTTTACACGAGATGTAATATATATATAAAACTTTAAAGATGGTTATTTCTTCGTCATTGTTTCTTACTACATAAGTTTGAAATTGAGCAAATACCAAACTATACTTTCTTTCATAATCTAGTTTAAAACTATGATATTAAACTTTAAGTACAGTAGAACTATAGTGATGAATAAATGGTTTCATAAAACTTGTTGATACCCTTGCAAGGCAGGAAACTCAATGAGATTTATGAACTAGGTGCTGGATTACATGTCAGTTTGTTGTACAAGAACCACACAAACAATAGGAATACAACTTCTAAACTTGTGTTCTTATAAACATCTTCTATGATACAGAATTATATTAAAATAAATACCATTAATCAAATAAATAATCTATTAAATACATGGGCTTTCGGTAGAGTTATTACATCAATATATAATGTCACAAAAAAAGGTTTAGACTTTAAACTAACTGGTACAATTTGATGTACTAACACCAAAAATAACTGGTCCATAATTTATACGTGAATAAACAAAAGATAAAATTACTCTCCAGTTGGAATCGCACACAAATGGAGAAATATTGGTAGGACATTAATCTTCCTACTTACTCACTGAATAACTTTGACAGAACCAATTACATGACCAAACTATACGGTTAAGCCTAGATTACTAGTGTCACATACATAATAGACACTTTTTATAACACTTAATACCCAGTAAAGTTTTATTATGAAAGAAAAGTAAATTTAGCCCTATTTTAGAGCACCTTAAAAATCTACTTGAACTTCATTTAGTTTTCTACAATATTCTGTCTTTTGGTTGTATGAAGAACTGCTACCACAAACATGAAAGAATGTACGTAATGTTAAAATTTTTTTGTCAAAAGTTACTTAAATTAGATGAGTCACTACTTCAAATATTTTGTGGGTTGTTTTGGAAATGGATGGAATGATCAGTCTTTTTATTTACTCTGACTTATATCGGCAATGGCCATTTACTTTTCATATCTTTGGAAAATTATTTGTACTTAGTATTCTACAAACGTGAGATACACTGTTTGTAGTTAAGCACAAAACTACACAATGGGCTATCTGTTTTGTGCACGTCACGGGTGTCAAAGATAGATGACAACCCAAACATTTTCAGAAAGAAGCCCTTTTGTCTTCAGGATTGAACTGTACCACCCCAATAACCCCCCCTGCAGTGCTTCCAGAATTGTGATTTATGTACAGCTATAAAAAATTACGTTGGCACTACTGAAGGAACTTGTTACAAATCTACAGAAATAACACGTACGTACACTGACCTAACATCCCTGTTTGTTTTTATACATCAAAGCGATGATCTTGATTTTAGTAAATAATAATGTGAATGTTCACAGGATTAAAATTTTTTATATATTTAGGAATTCACAGATAGTATATGGTAAGAGACTAGATAACTGAGAATAACAGGAACCTGATATAAGACAGTTAAACCTAAGTTCTGCTTACAAAAAAAAATATACAACATGCTTACAAGTCCCTCAATCTGAAAGTACAATACAATACTTTTTAATGGAAAGTAAGAATTCGCACATGACAATATGTATACAGCTAGCATACTATAATTACATAGAGCCTTTGTTAATTTTTTTTACTTCTTGGGTTACAAAACATGAGGCAAAAACAATGTATGTATGTATACAACTAAAAAGTTTAAACCTAATTAGGTGTTTCATTAAGAAATGGAAAACAACCAGTCTTATCGTGGGAAAAAACAATAAATGAGGAAAAAGTTTTCCGTGACTAGCTTGCATACACCGACTACCAACTGATTTGGACACTGGAAAAAAATTCCAACAAGTTGTGCATTAATAAGGAGAGTGCAACAATGTTAATTAAATCTTGCTGGAAAAAGAATTCTAGCATGAATTACATTGACATGGCACAATACTGATTCATCACTTTACACCTCATCTTTTACAGAAAATTTTCTTACTATTATCCTGCTATTTTTTAGTAATTTAACTGTTGGAAAATACAATACAGGTTGTATCCTACTCTGTTGTTATGGAAATAATCTGGTCTGTTGCCATAGAAATAATGTAAACGGATATTTTGTCTTTGAAATGGTCTGATCTTGTTTTACTATCCCACCAGACCGTGGATGTTAAACGTATCTTTTCACATTACTTTGAACAAGTGATATTGTTGTATTCTGAAACAAAAGAACTTAGGATCGTACGAGGCACCAATTGTTCACTTCTAACTTAATTTCCTTCCACATCTATTTTTCATTTTTAAACACATTAGTGGGAATTACGTGATCTGTAGTTTCAATATCGGCAAACTTAAAACTTTGAAAAAAATCTGTTCATTTTTTTTAGCCCATAATTAAACTTGAAGTATAAGAAACCAAACCACAGTCTAACACACTTTTCATGACTACTAACACTTAAACTTCAAAATCAGTGTCAAAACACCAAAATTTGAGCTTACAACCAAAGATGTGAATACAATTAAAAATCTAGCCTGTACTTTTATACTAATATGGTCTCTAGTTGGAAGCCTTGGTTTGATATCACACTCTTCAGGGTGCAGTGAAAAGTTAATTAGAAAAACATAACAATAAAAGCGGCCCCTGGATTGTCTATGTTTAAAAGAATTCAGATCCAACTTAAGAGATTTTTTTTTCACATAGCTTACGTTGGTTGCATCTTTTACCACTGGTAAGGAACCTTCAACATTAACATTGTGAGATAAAGATGATGATGAAAAATTTGAGACTACGATAAATAAATTATCTTTAGATTATCATGGGTATTCCTTTTGTTGTCAGTACACTTGATTTTTTTATAGTTTCATTTTTTGATTATCAACATATGGTAATATCATTTTTATCCATGGTTTTCATATTTCTATTGGCTCTAGAACTCTGAAATGGCTCAACCAAATAATATGACTGTTAGAAATATTAGACAAAACCACTGAAATAACAAAACACATGAAAAACAACTTGATTTTAAATAAGGATGAAGAGTTAGAAAATCAGAAAGTATTTCATGTCTTCGTGGTTAAAAGCAAAGCTACACAATATGCTATGCCCACCATGAATATTGAAACCCAGTTTTAGCATTATAAGCCTTCAGACTTACTGCTGTGCCACTGAGGGTTGTTTCGCGTCATTCATTTCTTTAATTCGGCTCCTTTTACAGTATTTGATGAAACTGAAACCAAGTAGTCTGCTAAATTTTTATCTTACCTTGAGCTCCTATTTGCTCAACTATCTTTAAAAGTAATGAGTGAAAGAACTTGAGATGTATTCTCAAACTGATCAATCTAGCAAAGTTGTACAATAAAGATGGTGAATACGCTCTCAAGAATAAGCATATGAAAAAAATTTACTTGTACGTGCACTATTAAGACGAATGATAAGACTGGGGCCTCAAATATTACCTTTATGACTAGCTACTTTTGATTGGCACTGTAAGTATAGTTGTAAAAAGGGCCAGCTGGTTAGAAAAAAAAAATGTAATGGCATCTAACGTTATCAGCCAACTAGTGTATAACAGACACACTTCCAGAACTGATCTAAATACTACATTATACATTGGTTTAGCTTATATTCTGCCCCTCACTGGAAGAACTTGACATACATACATATATATAATCAGTACATGTAAATAAGACAGAATTATTCAAATGTATTTGAGATTCGTTCTAAAAAGTAGTAGCAAGTTCGTAACATTTAACACTTCCTGAACTCTTTTTTTTTTCACCAGAAAACTTCAAAATAACTAAAACAATTGGGTGATTAGGGACAAAATTATGTTTATCTAACTTTACTATAAGCTTTGAATAAAGTATTGGTTTGAGTATTACAGTGCTTCCATGATAATAACTTTAGCATCTAAGTTTTCAGTAAAGCATAACACTGCTTTTGTAGATGTAGTATTTTGCTTGTTAAATATCTAATATAACATAACGTTCTGGGACAACGTGTGACCTATTGATCCATCTCGGCTGTCCCATCCTCTAAACTAAATTAAAACTATTAATAACTAAATTTTAAAA